TGGTTTAATTGTGAAAGGAAACTACAGGTGGGGGAGTTTAGGGTATATAGGGCTTCTATAAGGCTTCTATAAGGTATATAGACCTTCCATAAGGCTCCTATAACGGTAACTACCCACCTGAAAATGTCCTAGACCTTGCGCACTCCACTCGCCCAGTAACTGCCCATAACCCACCCGTAAGCACCTTAAACTAAAGGGTGGGATTTTCTGTAGACCCTAAACCCGTAATCGCTACACCCGTCTATCCCTGAAGGCTAAACTCTCAACCGAAAGCCCTAGAACCCTGAACCCTAACCCCTACAGCAGGATTTGTTCTGGAAGCAGGATCGGGCAACCCCCGTAGACTCTGCAAGCTGCTAATGAGCCCTAATAGCGTTGAGGGCTTTAGGATTTAGGTTTAGGGTTTAGGGAGCGAAACTCTAAACCCTAAACCGCACCGTGAACCCAAACGCCAAGGATTGTCATCATAAAACCCTGCCCTAGAAGAGTCCTTACAAAATGCCCGTAAGATCCTGTGAAACCTTAAATGTAGGGGCCTTGACAATTAGAATTGGGCCTTGGGGTCCTTTATACTATAGTTATAACAAGGAGCCCCCAAAGTAGGTAATTATTGAGACCCCTATATTAAGCACCTATCGGATTGCAGACCTAAAGCCTTACTTTACTACATCCGAAAGCTGAGAGCCTGGTTGCATCTGCAACTGCTCCGCCTTCTCGAGAGCCTCACAGGCAAAGGCATTTAAAGTAGGGGCCGTAATAGGTAGAATAGGGTTCTGGGGCCCTTTGTAGAAGTTGTTTTAATAAGGAACGCCCAAAAGTAGGAAAATTATTTAAACCCCCATACTATATGTAGAGGCCGAAGCAGGGCTTTGATAGGGTTTTAACTTGGCGTGATTCCTGGACTCAATGCAGAGTCCTTCTGTGCGTGCAGAACGGGAGCCCGCAGCAAATAATCTACACTCGCTACTAGAGTGGTCTGAATAACCAGCATGCCTTCCCTTGTTTCCCCTGCAAAACCAAATATTCTTAGTTTCAGGCCCTGTTTTGGTGAGTTCCCGGAATCCGAGAGCAACAATCTGATGTGAGGACTTGAGCCCCTAAACCCTAAACCCTAAAGCCTAAACCCGAAACCCTGAACCCTAAACCCTAAACCCCAAATCCAAAATTGCTGGAAACGCCTAAACCCTAAACCCTAAACCCTAAACCCTAAACCCTAAACCCTAAGCCTCTTCGGCTTCTCTGAAGATTTTCAACCCTGGCTCTGGAAGATCCTGGCTCCGTCGGAGCATTTTAGGGTTTAGGGTTTAGGGGTTAGGGTTTAGGGTTTTAGGGGTTAGGGTTTAGGGTTTAGGATTTTAGGGGTTTGGGTTTAGGGTTTTAGGGGTTAGGGATTAGGCTTTAGGGGTTAGGGTTTTAGGGGTTTAGGGACAGTCCACCGGAGGAAAGGCAGAGTGTCAAGACGCTGGACTTTCAGAGGACGGCGCAGAGTGCTGTTGTCTTCATTTGGGAGTTTCGGAAAATTAGGGTACCTCATTTTGGGCTCCTTATAATAAGGATCCTATTATTTAGGGTACTATATTAGGTCCCCTATTTTCGGAAACCCCCATATAAGGAATAAATGAGCCCCGACTCCCGCCATTCCACGGATCAGCTCGTTCGACAGTGAAGATGCGCCGAAAAATGACTGAGATTGAAAACCCATGGGAGATGCCGGACCTTTAACCTGAGCCCCAAAGCCTTAGGACCCGAAAAATCCCTTTTTGGATTTCATCTAGGTCCCGCATAGATCCCTGATAGAACTGCATAGGAACCCGAAACCAACAAAGTCTTGCTGCGTGCTGTAGCCTAACCAACCTGTACGCTATTTCTGCTCGCAGATCTTGCCATGCTCATCGCGACATGTTCATACGGTTGATGATATAAATCCTGCATTACCCATAACAAGGAATATACCATAATTCCCATAGTTGAGGGTATTTAAAGTAATGCAGGATATATACCATCAACAGTACCTCTGATTCCTAAGCACTGTCTTGCTGAAGCTTCCTTTCACGGGCCTGTTGGGTGGGAGGAGCATAGACCTCTTGGCAGATACGGCCACTTTGCTCGGACACTGCTGCCACCACTCCAACAGCTTCATGGGCTTGTATTCGCCCTGCGTGCTGAGCAAAGAAGGGTGGAAATTCGCGACGGTCACATCGGAGCAGGATAGGAGCATTGATCCGGTCCTGCGTTTATTCTCAACAAGCAAAATTAGGAGCTCCCCCCCCTCCCCTCCCGTTGGGTCCGTTTTCTTCATCCCACCAAGAGCAGTCCTACATCACGAGTCTGGGAGGCTGTTTCAAGTCTAGGATCTAGGTTCCTGAGTAGCCCTATTATAATTAAGGGGACCTTTTTCCTACTCTTCGGCTTCAATAAGGGGACCATAAAGACAAAAAAGGCAAAAGGGCACTACTCAGGAACCTAAGACCTAGAGGATTTAACAACGAAACCCCACACCCCCGAAATCCTCCAAACTTAGCGAAGCCGCCCCAGAAACCGAAAGTGCCTCTAGGCTTCTTTCAGGATCTCCGTGGCCAGGTACAAAAACCCAAGACCCAAAGGCCCTAAACCCTAAACCCCAAAACCCGAAACCCCTAAGCCCCAAAACCCAAAACCCAAAACCCCTAAACCCCTAAACCCCTAAACCCCTAAAAGCCCTAAACCCCTAAACCCTAAACCCCTACACCCCCAAAACTTCGGTAAGCCGCATTTGGACGGTGCCTGCCGCTTCTTCGGCTGCACATCATCTTCAAGATCAACTGGAGATGAAGGTCCCGGCCTCAACTGGTTTAGAGTTTAGAGTTTAGGGTTTAGGGTTTAGGGTTTAGGGTTTAGGGTTTAGAGTTTAGGGTTTAGGGCTTAGGGTTCAGGGAACTGGAGATGAAGGTCACACCCCAAAACCTTGATTTTGGGTTTAGGGTGTCGGGTTTTAGGTCTCAGATAGGGTTCAAGGTTTAGGACTTGCCATAAACCGTTAAATCTTGAACCCCAAGCACGGAACTCTCAACTCCAAAAGCCATGAAAGCCAATACCCCGAACCCCTAAACCCTTCAAGCCCAAACACTGGAACTAGAAAAAAAACCCTAAACCAAACCCCTAAACCCTAAACCCAACCCCCTAAACTCCTAAACCCCTAAACCCTAACCCTTACCCCTAAACCCTAAACCCCTAAACCCTAAACCCTAAACCCTAAACCCTAAACCTTAAACCCCTAAACCCTAAACCCATCAAAGCCTGAAGCAACACACCACTTTCCGTAAACGAGGGCTAGACTGCAGCTTCCGCCTTGAAGTAGGCTGGGTATGGCGGTTTAGGCTTTAGAGCTCAGGGTTTTGGTGTTTAGGGCCTAAGGTTAGGGTTAGGGTTAGGGTTCAGGGTTTAGGGTTTAGGGTTTACGGTCTTGGGGTGGTGAGGCTTAGG